TTTCAACCTGAAATATTTAAGTAAATGCTGCGCAAACTGTCCGCAGATTTTCTATGTGTTTCTGATAGTTATTACAAACTAAAAATGCACATGATAGCTTCAGGTTCGTATATCAATAACAACCTATTTGTTTGCATTTCAATTTTCATTTTGTTACTGTTTTTTTATGATACAGACTTGTAATTTTGAGGTACAGTGGCCCATCATGGCAGATTTCGGTTTATTACAATAACCTTCTGCTTTATTTTGTTATCAGGTTTACACGTTAGCTAGATAAAATATGAATGTAAAATCATACAGAAGAAACAGGGGAATGACATTTAGACGCATTAGCGGCAATTAGTTCGATAATTTCTATATGAGGTTGTAAAAGTATTTCCCCGACGACGAAAAATATGATTGATAATGAAAAAGAAAAAAAAAGTTGTTCAACTTCAAATGAGGTATATAAACAATTGTAAAATAGCTAAATTCAACTTTACGTGTAGAAGATGTGCGAAAAGATGCTGAGGCACATTGGCATTTTTTTCGGATAATAGAGAAAATATTGCAAAAAAAGCCTTTAGGTAAAGGAGTTCTAAAATTTAAATGCTCTAAATACAATGTTCATTTAGGTATAACGCCAAATGCAAACTGTTTTGCAGAATTCCACCACCATACATTTTCATACATACACAGAAGAGCGAAGATTATAGGCCTTATAGACTTGAAAGTCACATAGTTAATTTACTACAATAAAATAGTTTAAACAATTTTTGTCTATTTCATTTGTATATAGGTTTATAAATACTGATTTATTGTTTAAATTTTTTTTCAATGTTAAAATGATTCGATCATTTCGTCTCTCATAGTTAGGTAAACTACAATAAATGTTGCCTGATTTGTATGCTCTTTGTGAACAATATGTCTTTTGGTTATTATAATATGTAGTTTACTTTTCGCGGACATTGTAATCTCTCTAACAGCGAAATGATTTAATCGCATTATCTCATGTCATATCATAAATTATATGGTTTATATTTTCTTTTTATTATCACAGTATGTGTTATGCTCGGTTGGTAGTTATTGCAGTTTATATTTCATTATCTTATCTTCCGAATTTACTAATAGTTTTTATCAAATTGGTATAAAAATATAAAATTCCAGAATAATTTCATTGGTTCTATGAATTACATATGGTTTTTCGAGATAACTAAATAAGTCTTTGAGTAGTTATATTGAAACAATAGATATAAACATTAAACGGTATTTAATTCGTATTTTTTATGTAATTTTTGATTTATCGAAAAGTTTAATATACGTAACCTTACAGTTTTTTTTAAGTTTTGTACTAAAACAGTCCATATAGAAGGCTGTAGTATGTACATATTATATAAATCTCTTTTATTGGAATCAATTTGTCAATTAACTTTGTAATAAGCGTGACTTCATTTACGAGCATTCGTCGCCTAGTGCCAGACTGACATAAAAATTTAATGAAGCAATTTCAGAATTTGGTGATCAATAAAATGCACCTGAAAATGCAAGTACATAAGAATAGGAAGTGATGTATTTCGAGCATCATGTAGTTATGTGCTAATACTATCCTATACATTTCTGACTGATTGATTTTAGTTTGAGAATATTTTAATTATCAAAGTTATCAGCGATGCGCACATGTTATTCTTACTACGATTTTTATTTGCAAAAGTATCTTTGGTCAAACGCCAGAAATGGCAGCTATAGTTATTATTAGTTATAATCTACAATGAGCTGTATATCAATTTTTAACTGAAATTTTATTTTATTTATCAATATATGCAATGTTAAGTAAATTTATTATAATATACATTTTATGCATTGGAATTAATTTTAAAATTATATATTTTGTTAGATCATTCTGTGTACAATCTATTTGAAGTATGTGGCGATCTGAATTACTAATCTGAATCAACTTGATCTACATTGATGTACTGACAGATTAGTAAATTCGATATAATTAGGTTATTCGGTTTGAAATCAATTGAATATGATTAGGAACAATAAATAAAAAGCAAGTTTATTTTCTACATTTTGGCACTAGATATTTATCATTCAGCAGTTCTATTAATTGCGCAATAATTACAAAACAAATAGAAAATTTTTTCAACAGTTAAACAAATAAATATGAAAGATATACATACATATCACACCCAGAGGAATACAACAAAAAAAATATATGTTTAAATTCCCAAAGGAGAATGTTGTTTTCTCCAGAAAATTAGTTTTGCTAATTTTATATTTACTCGAAGTTTTAAGCCATTCTGACACGTTTAGGATCTGAAGACTTCTGAAATTTAATAAAAGTTTATGTGTGTATGAGAGTAGATTTTTCAATTTATTGTCGACGTTTTCTTAAAAACGACTGAACTGATTTCTAAAATTTAAAAGCCTCGATTGCAACTCAATAAGGAATATCGTTTATCAGTTTTGCGCCAAGATTGCTCAAGTCGGTCAACCAGTAAATTAAAAGATTTTTAATAATGTAATTTGAATGAATTATGATAATAATATATTTTGAATATAATATGATTTAATTTAATTTTCTTCAACATTAATACATTTACAATTATTGTAATTTAGCATATAAATTGGATCGGTAATTGGTTCATTAGGAGTTTGATTTTGAAACAATAAAAAGGAAACCCCAAGTATTAACAATGTTGAAAACTAGAAGAAACCTTCAACGACAACTTTTTAACGATCGAGGTGAAATATCTAAAAAAGGTGTTGAAGAAACTTTTATAATTTAACTTAGTTGTTTTCATCGTTATTATAACTAAATTATTCACGATGAAATTCATTTTTGTTTTAAAATTATTTGGCTCGTTATAATTTTAATAAGGAGATCGATTGGATGAATTGTCGTCAACATAACTTGGAAGGATTTACCGTACAAAGAAACGTATTATATTATATTTGTTTGAAAATAGATGATTATGAGATGATTTCTATCAAAATATATGCTTTAGGAGTGTTTGGACTTATCAAATTGAAACTTCTTAATCGGCATGGTCGACCTTGATTAAAATTAATTCGATTTAAAAAACTAATGAATCGTCACATCACAGCAACAATTTCAACTATGAAACAGAGAAAAGAATTCTGCAAATTTTCTCTAACATTGTACGCAATCTACATAGTACCAACATAAAAATATTACGTTATTTATAAAATCTATTGCTAATTGGTTTTTATATACGGAACGAAATCTTACAGACATATGTAAACATCGTCAATAATACTACGTATAATTTGGTTGTGAAAGCCAGTACTATTTAATCATTCATTCTGGATAATTTGGCTCCAGCATCAAAGCCTTCTTGCTCTAAAACAAACAATACCGGCTCAAGCACAGGCGAGCGCTTAAGTTGGTCTACTATGCTAGATTTGGCCCGTCATTCATCTTGCCCGTTATGGGCTGGGCTTGATTCTCCAGGTGCCATTTCAGATGGAGGCCCACCCGCCGCCCTCATACCTTGGCCAGGGATGAAATATTCTTGTGTCCGAGTGTTGCACACATATTGCAAGATCTTCAATCAGGAGGAGCTGTACGAACTTATTGTCAGGTGCAAACATATTCAAAATGGATGTCATTTTGTGCATTATATTTTTGTGTGAATGGTATTATATACTGAATTGATCTCTTTCGATTTACCTCTTAGCTAATGATTTAGATAATATTTTCATGCCAAATTAATTAATGATTAACATGCATAAGCGAGTCAGTTGACAAGCTGGTGAGTTAGATGCGATATTTCAGTATAAGTATAAACAAAATTTACCTCAATTGATAATTTTATTTTTGAGACTTTGCGTAGAAATACAGTAAACCCTCCGCATAACACGGTAGTTACTTTCCAAAAAAGTAGCGTGTTATGCGAATCCGTGTTATACGAGACAAAGAACTCCTACAAAAAGAGAGGTTACGTTCCGAGAATTCAGAAAAACATGCTACATATTACGATTTTATGATAAATATTTTTATTTTTATTAATTGTTTTAATAAGTAATTTAAATTACATGAGTTATATGATTTTTTTGTCATAATTAACTGATAAGTGCTATTCAACACGATCATTTCTTTGCGAGAAATCCTCATCCTCTGAGCAGTTTTCTCTACTACCTCCAGATCCGTGTATTATTTTTTGCAATATATATATATATATATATATATATATATATATATATATATATATATTTGCGATTACTTTCTTTTAGCGAAAACATATTTATATATTTACCACATGCAAAGTTATTTTTATTAAAATTCTATGCTCATTTTATATAAAGGATATTTGTTTAAGACTAATTGACTATGTGTTCGAATAAATCTAGAATATTTTATCTATAGAACGTACGCGCTTGAATAATAAGTGTCAAATTAATTATCTTTTGCATTAATTTCATCACGTTTGTTAAGCTATTTTATTGATTTTAGATTGAATAAAGTTAGATTTTCGCAGATTTTACTATTTTTTTATTTTATTAGGGTTTTGCTCAATTCTGAAACCGTGTTAGAGCTAACCTTTTAAAAGTACCGTGTTATAAGAGGAATGGAATCAATTCTTAAATGGTATTGGAGCGAATCCGTGTTATAGAAGTACCGTGTTATGCAGGGGTTACCTGTATTAATTGATATTTGTATTCGAAAGATTTAATTGTGCTCAAAACAAGTCTTAAATTATATATATTTCAGTTAATTTTTAGTAAAGCAAATATTTTTATTATTATATTACAGTTATAATATCAATATATGCTATAATTATAGAATCTTCAATTTGATGTTGATATAATATATAATTATGTCAATGTTTTTAGAAATTGTGTTTTAAGTTCATACGTTTCGGGTACATTCTAACCTTCATTTAGTGGAAAAACTGGCAACTATAATAATTAAACTAAGTAATTTATAACGATTAAAACAAAATAATAATCAAATCTAAAAACACATACAATTTTGTATCCTTAATTAATGAAAACACTTTTGCACAAAAAAACATGTATAATATTTTGTGAGTTATCGAAACTGTGTACTGACAGTTCTGAGTTTGAGATGGAAATGTCGCATTTTTAAGGGAAAATTATATAAATATACTTGTCATGAAGGTTTCACATGTGTTCGACAATTTGCGAGAATGTTTATAACTATGGAATTTTGTCTTTTTTAAATTTTGACACGCTATTGAGAACCATGTATTTGTTTCGTTGAAAGATGTTTAGTCGTTTCTTTTGTTAAGAACATTGTCGTTACGTAATTAGTTAATCAACCCTGCTTTTTGGTAATTATAATTTCTAAAGTATATTTTTATTACTAATAATTTAATAAACATTATTGTTTACGTTTAAATCTTAGGTGAATTAATTTGTAACATCTAGTTCATATGAGCACTCTTTAATGTAAGATCAACCCATTCAATTCCATCAAATCATTTTTTTATTAAGTAGAAATATTTTTTGTATTGTTAAATAATTTAGTAAAGTAAACCAAAATGCGACATAAGTTAGAAAAATAATATATATGCAATTTTGGACTTATTGCGTTATTTATTAAACTGAATTATATAATTTCATCTGCCATACTGTTGACTGTATCTTATATTATTTTGATTTCTGGCACATCTTAGCTGCTTTTCATAATAATGTAGATATTACATTCAGCTAAATTTATATTTGAAGTAAGTTGACATTTTTAGCAGATGACAGTTCAAATGTTTTCAATGTCAAACAATGATAAGTGTTTTTTGTAATTTTTGTTATTTATTTCTACAATATTACTCTAGTTTTATCATTCATAAAATTTTAGAAATTTCCTTTGGCAAACTCTAAAAAGAATAATCAAAATCTAAATAATTATCCTTTCCTACACCATTACAGAAGAATTTTATATATAAGATAAGATATATTCAAGTATTTTTCATTTTTAGATTAACCCGATATTTTACTAAAATGTCAACATACAAATAAACATTATGTATATGTAAGGATGTTTATTGGTTATTAATTTTTTTTCGTGTTCACATTGAATTAATTACGACTGAAAGTTTTTAATATTAGTATACTATATTTGTTAAGGTAACAAATATGATGATAGGAAAAAAATGACGAAATGCTATAATCTCGAACTTCTGCCAGTTCGTCGTTTCAATATACATACTCCTATTTTAGCCTCATTATAGTGCACTGCCGGAGTTGAGCGCGGGATAAATGTCAATCGGTTTCCACTAAATAGAACATTTTAACGTTCTACCACTAGGAAAAACACTTAACCTTTCCGAATAGTCAAGGCGACTCCGGAATAATTTTCATGCACTATTTAATTTTTTGCTTCATGTAATTTTGTTGAGGAAATCGCATGAATCTAATGATACTATAGCATCCTTATGATAGTATGTCGTTAGGAGATCAGGCGGTTGGGAGCCACATAGAGGTAGCTTGTACGCAGCCCATTAATTATAGATTCCTGGTTTAGTGATTTCCAGTTTATTTTGACTATATGAATAAATATAATATTATTAAGTATTTTTTCATGGCAGAATATTGTATTGCATTATTCTGCTGCCAATAAATATGTTTATTTTCAATTAATTTATTTGTTAGTGTTATTTCAATTCAAGGCTAGGTGACATAAATTTAACTCATTGTTAATACCATTTAAAATTTGTCTTTATGTTTTATAGGTTAACATAGATGTAGAACTAATTTAATTAACTTTTTAATTTATTTGAACAAATTAGCACTTGTTTGTTTTCATAATCCGGGACAATAGGTCTAAATCCGGGACTGTCCCGGTCAAACCGGAACGTAGATCATCTTATTTATACTTATTTATACTGGATGTAAAACTACATTTTTCGTATTCAATTTTTTGATTATCCATTTTTAACAACGATTTGAGCTATTTTTTATTTAGCTATACAATTGAAATATTTACATACGCCATTACATTTTTTTTAAATTTAGATAGTTGTAACTGTACTTTGCTTGTATAATAATGTTTGTTAATGCGTCATATAATAAACTCCTCAGAGTTATTCAAATCTATTGTATATACATTTTTTAAAACATAATGTTTCAAAATCGTTTGATATTTCGGTATTCTGTAGAAAAAAGTGATGTATGTGTTTTTATACTCCTGTATAGATTTTGATTTACTCCTGTAATTATTTTTCATAAATAAATATCATTTCATTTTATAGCAAAATTAAATTCCAATTTTTAAATGGGCCACCCTTTATTATTATTTTTTTGTTTTTTTTTTTCAGGCAGTGATTATTGGTTTTGTTAATGTTTTATTAAAATATTGTGTAAATACTATTCTCTTTTTAAACGATGGAAAGTTCAGTTTTCTTCTCATTTTGGTAATATATTATTTTATCTGAAAAGTCAAAGTCTGAAAATCTTGTCTTCTGAAATTATAATTATAATTTTATAGAACATGTTTTTATATAATTAGTTGTAAATATTTGATGGTGGATTTGATGGACGGTGAATGTTTGGAATGAATGAACGATTATAAAAAAATTAATATTATGTATATATTTATATATATTGAGTATGTTAGAGATTGTATAAGATTTTGTGATCCATATTTTTATTGGATAAAATTCAGATCTTTCGGAACAAACTTTGCTGACACTCGTTTCGACTACCAAACATCCAAAAAGGCAACAACAAAAAAATGCATGGCGGAAGCTGATTATTCTAACATCCTTATTACTCGAAAACTTTTCATATGGTAATTCAACGATTTCCAAAGAAAATTGTCTGTTCATCTTCAGTTTATCATCAGTTGGTTGTAATATTTTGTAACATTTAAGGAACTATCTTTTATTTCGAGCATACCATTTACTACTGTCAACCTTCCTAGTGTTTTAGAATCATTTATTTTATTTTTTATATAAAAAATTATGCAGTATATTAAAAAAACGCCGAGTCCAGCAAAATATATCTGCCTTTTTATCTCGATGGAAAACTCATCAAGCTCCGCGGAATACCAACAACATAAATCGGGCATCGAATATATGCCAAAGTTGATAACTTTAATTTTACTCAACAAATCTCACGCACAAATTTATTGTAGTTTTACTTTTATATTAATTTGTATTATTTATCTTACAGAAAAACGTGTAAAGCATGCAAATGTCCACGAGAATCTCATGCCTTGTATCACGAAGAATGGGTTTCAGTCCGTGATAGGTTAGGATTTAAACCTAGCGGAGATCAAAATAACATTCAATTGAGAAGTAGCGCGCGGGAGCTAGGATACAGCTGGGTACCTCCTGGTTTAACAAGAGAAAAGGTAAAATATTTTTAATAAAGTTCAATATAAATTCAATTTTATTGCCATTTGTTGATTTAAGTGAAACAAAATTGTCTATTTATATTATGATGAGAAGATTATTAGGGTAGGGCGGGTCACAAAGATCTAATATGACTTCAAGTAATTCTACTCTATATCAAATGGACTACATCAGAACACAAAACGCGTATCGAACTATGTTGAATAAAGCTCTTATTTAATTTCTAATAAATAGAAATATGTTTTTTTACTAGAAACTAGAAATTAGTTTTATTTCCCTTTTTACCCCATAGCCAGGGGACAGGCAGATCCAATGTCTTAATTTTAAATTTAAAGGGATTTTACGAAATAATAGCTATATTGCTCAATCAATGCAAAATATAAATTTTACGGTATTTTTTTTACAAATATAACACTTGATCTGGTATTTTGTCAGAAATATTCCTTAGCAAACTTAAACTTATTTTACTTCTTCATTTACTATTCTCTTATTGTTAACACCTTTGCAGGGTAAAGTTTTAGTTGGTCCTTTTTATCCCTCGCATACTTAAGCTACTTCACTATTATATTAATGTTTCGCAAACTAAACAATAGTGCTCACAACCAAAAAAATAACAACAAAAGAAAATACTTTTGTTATAGATTTTCAAACATGGCCGTTTATCTCCTGATAGTGGTCTTACTTGATTTAAGGCGATTACACATATTTTTTAAGTAGAGCAAAATATGTGTATCTCTTTTTCTCTAGTTTCAAATATTGTTGTTAAAAAAATCATAACTTTACTTGTTTTTGAGATATTGGTGGTGAACCTTTTTTACCCACGGACCTTTAAGCCCCGCTCCACCCCATATGTAATTCAATTTGCTTATTTTTTTAATCTAATTCAGTTATTATTACAAGATAAAAACTAAGATCATTTGTATCACTTATTGTGCCATAAAAAATTCATATTATGAATTTGGAAATTCTGAACTTTATATTCCAAGATATCGACGAAACAGAAAAGTAATTTTTGTGTATTATATTTGTGTATAAAGTGTAATCAAATTTGGAGTTAATACAATTGGAGTTAATATAAATATGTTTGTGCAGGTTGATGTTTATTTCAAACAATTGCCGACTGAGAATATTCCTCTGCTTGACTCAGTGGGAGAACGCAACCGGGACAAAGAACTTTCCAGGCAACTACCGAAGCAAGATTTGGCATTTTCGTACTGTAAGCATGTAGAACCTCAGCATCGGGTTAGCTACGAGGATTTTATAGCGGCAAGAAATGAAATTGCATTAGACATAGGTTTGATATTTATTTAAATTATCGATTTTATTATAAGAAAAGGAATGACATATTTTACTTGATTTATACTATGCCGAGTAAAGTTTACCCATATTTTTTTTTATTCTATTTACTCTTTCAATTTATGTAAATTGAAATAACTAAATAGTGATGCGATGAAGAAATCTAAATTGATCAAAATTCAAATCGATTGTATTTTATGAATAATCGCCTTCACTTTTTTCCTATAGTTCCTGCTCATAAGGATACTGTGTTAGAATGCAAGTGTCTGACAATGAGTGCTTACAAGTGATCGCTATACAACGCTAACTTACAATTCATCATTATCATATATAAACAAGCTGTTAATCAATCAAGCTGTTAATTATTTTTTGTTTCAGTTTGCACCGCTCCATGCGCTTTTTTACTATAATCTTATTGACTATAGGCCTTTACATTATATCATGCCTCAGATTTAAAGTTCTGCAATTATTATTTGTTTGATTGATGAATAGTGACTTTACTCGTGATTATATAATGATTGACAATTTTAATGATAGTGCATCAAGTTTAACCCTTTCGGGACGACATTCAAAAGATCCGTTTGTGTAATATTTTTAATATGTGATATATGTTAAAATAATTTTAATTATTAGGGGGGCGGCTGGTGAGGCTGGTTAACCATTGTACCGTCTGTACTTTTTGTTGGTCCACATTTGGACCAGCCGTTCTATAAAAACAGTAAAAAAACAGTATGTGTACCACAAATCTAATTTAGTAATAAATACAAAATGTGTGAAACATAGTTATATTTGCTGGAGCTTTCTTGTCCACTGTAATAACTTATAATCGCCGAAAAACGCAAGTAGTTTATATATTTTAATGAAAATAGTATAATTTTAGCAACGTGGTCTGGGCGGACAAAAAACAAAACGCGACAGGTTCTAAACTAAATACTGTTTTATGGGCCATATCTGTTTTTTATCACAGCTAAACACTTACATAACGGCGTTGCATAAATTGCATTGATTTTATACAGAAATTTATCTGACTAGAAATTTTCAAACTTGGTGGTGCATATGTGTACCACGCGTACCGAAAGGGTTAACGTGTTTTACTATCTGTTTATCATGGCTACTTTCCATTTGAAGAAGAAAAATGCTTTCTAGGCGGCAATTTTCGTTAAGATGAAAATGGATAAAATATTTTTGTCTTTTATGTAGCCGCCAGATTTATGACTTATTTAGAAGTTAGAAGGATATTTAAATATGTAATGATATTATTAGGACATTCATACATTTAATACTGTGCTTGATTCTTTAAATGCGTGACGCTCAAAGACTATAAGTATTGCGAATTAATTTCAAAATTGTTTTTCCATTGATATTGTCAAACAACATTTATATATTTAACATTTTTACAGGACAAGTCCTTGAAACGACGCAAACCACCGACTGCAAAGGTTGTTCATCACCTATCGCGGCAAACTCGTTAGCCGTATCTGCGTCTAAACTAGGAATAAATACATTTTGGCATCCTAAATGTTTTACGTGTGTGGTTTGTCGTGTCCCGCTGGTTGATTTAACTTACTGCGCACGAGAAGGCGACGTTTACTGCGAAAGACACTACGCGGAAACTCTAAAACCCCGCTGTATAGGCTGTGATGAGGTAACTTTTAACTCGTTATTTATCACTGATATGTCTTGTGCAGGCAGATAATGAGAAAATTCGTTTACCAAAGAGTTAAATTTATGTACATATACAGTAAACCCTCCGTTAACACGGCACTCTGGGTACACGGTTCCCATACTACGCGAAGCTAAAAATCCGACATCCCTCCGACTACACGGACTTCCTATTACACGGTTGTTGTTCAACAGCCCATAAGTTTCTTGCGCAACCTATGAGTGATTCTAGTAACTTGATATCAAAAGGGTATTAAAGTAAGTTTTGTTATCAACTTTTATCTTTTGAACATGCCTGATTATTTAATAGCTGTTTAAGAAGACGTTTGAACTGACTACTACGTCGTGCCAAATTTTGAATGAGTTGTCTATGTCATACATGTCATTTCGTCCGTATTACTCCAACTTTAAGTTGTATTTCTTGGTCTCCATACAGCACGATAAAAATGGTGCGATTTGTACTATCTCTGAGTCTCTCATAGCGCGGTTTCCATACTGCACTATACAAGTTCACTGGCACTATAGAACGCACTACGAACTGACTACTACGAATTAGCCTGAATTGTATGATAAATACGAGTTTTTTATAGCAAGGTCCCCATACTGCACGGTACGCACTTGCCGCGTTAACGGAGGGTTGACTGTATATGTTATATGCCAAAATCTTTTTGTTCTTATTTAAAGATTTTGTACATATATTGCTGCAACATTAAAATGTAAGTTAACTTTAATATAAGTTACAATATATGTTTAAAATCTTCAAACATGAACAAAAACATTTTTTGAAAATACTTGTTATTTTTTTATTATCATCAGTGGATATTGGATTATTCAATACAGACACAGACACTGTCCCAGAGTTGTCGAATATATATTTTTTTTTTTTTTCAAAAAATGTGTGCATTATAACATAGCATTGATATTTAAACATAGCAATTTACAATCTCAGAGAAGTTGAATGATACATGTTGTTGCTAATTGTCTTTGTAGTGTACATGCAAAAATCTGATTCTTCAATCTTCATAGAAACATGATTCATAGAAATATGATTCCAATTTTTTTCCTAAAATTAAAAGAGTGAATCAAATAAAAAACATCTGTAAGGATAAAAGTGAGAGATTATAATTGAGAAACAAAAATATCAGTTCAAAATATCAATTCAATACAAATTCATGTTTATTTAATTTCCCTGAAAAATACCCGGAAACTACTGGGTTGTTCGGAAAGTAACTTCGTTTTTTATAGACATTTTAATTTTAATTGACAATAAACAATTACTTTAATAAATTATGTATTGGCAGTTTTGATCGAGCATTTTTTGTCTTATTTCTGGTATTAGCATAATTCCGAAATGATAAATGTTTTGGTCGTTATTGAAAAAAAACTGATCAAAGGGCTTTTTGACAGGCTGGTTTGAGGTAAAGATTTCACCGCCTAAAAATTTTTTTAGTGACCGGAACAAATAACGATCTGATGATGGCAGGTCTTTAGAATATGATGAATGTGTCATGGGGTCCCATTCAAGCTTCAAAAGCTTTTGACGATTGACCAAACTTTTGTGAGGTCTTGCGTCGTCTTGATGCAGGACTATACCTTGTTGTGGGTTAATTCTGACTTTTTCTATTGAAGTAATATCATTTAGTTTATCCAGCTGATGACATAAGGCATCCAAATTAACCGTTATGTTATCCTGGAAAAGCTGAAAAATGAAACAACTTCTTTAAAATCTTACCAAACATACTGCATCACCTTTTTCTGGCAAGTTTCAGCTTTGCACCTGTTTTGAGCAGGTTCTTTTTTTTGTTTTAAGGACAAATGCGTGTATTGGTGTATTGTATTCCTTACATCCCATTTGAAATTTCTAGTAACAATTCGCTTCAAAACCTGATAATTTTCAAGAATTTTCAGAGTCGAATCGCGGACGCCAGTGCGACGACACACGTTTCTATTTATGAGAACCATACATTGAGTTTCGAGGAAAATCTCAGACCTTCTGAATAGTCATAGACTGTTAAATTTGATAAATATTTACTCAATTTATTCAATCAACTAATACTTTTCTCGCGTCTTTATTAGCTTTAACCGTACGTCTTGGACTTGATGCATCTTGGGCATCAAAATACCTGGAATGAAATTTAGCAAATTAATTTTGGCACTGTCGTATTATCAACACGTCATTTCCGTACAAATCGATCAATTTCATTTTGACTTACAGTTTTTTTTACCGTTTTTTATAGCAAAAGAGTAAAATATGTCGAAAATGCTGCTTAATTCTTTTCGCATTCAAAGTGGCACCATCAAAAAACTACTGCACACAAGCCTTAAAATATAAGTTTTGAAATCATATACTAATTATAGGGCTTAAGCGTGATGTGTTAGATACAAAAAATTATAGTTAAGTTCTGGTGGCAAAAAAATGAAATGACTTTCCAAGCAACCTCATAGTTTAGGTGGAACAAATTCGACCCATCCGATAAGTGTTAACCAAGCGTCTGTTTTAATTCCACGTTAGCGAGTAGTAATAATGCCATTTATAATAATTGTTATTAAATATTATTCAGGCTCTTTCCGAGCTTATTCTTCATAAATAACCACAGAAAAATTATTCTATAGTATATTTAGTAGCTGCTTTTTAAATAAATATTCCTCTAAAAAAACCTGAAAATATAGATACAAGACATTGATTTGAAGCTGTAAAAATACTAATGATTACTAGATTGCTTATGGTACTGATATAAAACGAGCAATGATGATTAATAAAATAGAACGCGTTTTTACAAAAGATAAAATTGACAGACAACATAAAGAAATTCAGAAACATAGAAATCGAATTCAGAAAATTTTACTTAGGGTATCATAAAAGACAGATTCTTTAAAAAAAATAACTACAGGCATGGAATATAATTTAGTTTCGGACACTTAATGGAAGTGTTTTTGAATGTTGAATACCTTAATCGTCGATCGTATCGTATTGCGCTAGCTATTTTAAATATTCGTTCCTGGATAAATTTGTGCCGGGTGTTTGTAGTTGGAGAAAGTCGAAGCTATATTAAAAAGTTTTGTATTATTTTTTGATAAAAGATAATGCAATCGAGAGTAAAAGGTTTCGGACAGTTAGAATATTATGTTAGAATATTGTGAAAAATGCTTTAGCAGAAAAGGTGTATTTACTAGGCAAGAAGAAAATTATAAAAGCTCTACTTCCCGCAGAAAAAGATCTGGAAGAACTAATAATATGTGAGTTTATTGCTCGTTAATTTAGGTGTTAATTTAGATAACTAAAAGTTAATATATTAAATGTGATTGGATTACACGATCCTTATCCATGCATGATGAACAACCTACACCAACATCTTCATAATCATGTAATGGATTGAGAGACCGACGTTTAATGTAAAAACATGAATAGTTATATTCGATGAACCCCAAATCAAGCAACTCCTAAAATATAGACTGTTTGTGAATTCTATGAAAAAAGTCGAGAAGAAAACCAGGGAGTCATTCGTTTTGGTGGTGAACAAATTTTCTGGTGAACAAAAAATTAAGTAACTTAATTGAGCTTAATTGATTCGAATATATGCTATTCAATTTAAAAGATCCTTGAGTATCAAAATTCATTACCCGCACTCTCATACTCTCATTTAGAGTGGTTTCTAACAAACGTCGGAGATGTTAGCGAAGGAATCCACTAAAACATCAGAACTATGGAGGAGTGATATCAAGGGGCATGGGACGTCCACCTGATGGCTGAAAATTGTTGGAATTCACAACGAGATCAATCAGACCTTGTGACGCTCGAAAATCGTATAAAAAAACTTTTGAACACATAATTTAAAATGTGTGTTTTTTTATCGTAATTTGATGTAAAGTCAGCACATTGTTATATCTCAAAAAACTAGAGTTGCTAGCAAAGTTCTGGAACTTTTTCTGGAATTACTTAAAAATGTCCGATTTCTTTCATCGAATTACTTAAAAACCATAATGTTTTAGCAAAAAACTGTTATCACGCAGCGTTGTCATTTTGTCAGTAATTGTTAGAAGTTCAATCTGGGGAGTTTTAGGTTTTGTATTAATTTTTGTTTTAATTAAATATCAAATCTGTTTTTGCTTTGTTGCGGTTACAATTAAGCCATCGTATCACCAATTAACTAAATTATTTAATTTTTTATGTTTTAGAAACTAAAATATAAAACTCATTCTGGATAATCTCCCAAGAAATGATAACACTGCGACAAAATTGGCACTTTTATCTTTTTCCTCGTACTTTTTTTAAATCCACTTAGAATTGCACGCTGGTTTCAAATATTTCTTTCCTTTTTTTGTAACAGCTCCAGTTTTTGAGTATTAGGGGACTACCCTAATTTGTCATTTCGGCTATGATTATTGCAGTTTAACGAATAAATAAGAGTGTTATCTGCTGCTTTTGATATGGCCGCGTTTTTATTACAAATACCGGAAAACTGTGTCAAACTGCGTAACGACATCGTATTTCAACCATTTTAAAACTGAATTGCGCAATAAAGATGAAACATGGGTTCTGAATAATTATTCAGAATATAAAAGAAATGATATAATTTTAATACCTCCGTCATTTAGAGAAAACCTCAGAATCACCACGAAAGTTGGTTCTTCTGTGTGGTAAATATCAAAGAAATAAATTCAGGAAATAGAAGCAAATGGCCATAAACCACAACCCGAATGGTTTTGAGGTCTACTACTACTAACCCCTATCCATGCTATGATGAACAACCCAGAACATCAACATCTTCTGCCTACCAAGTTATGGATGCAGTAATTGATTTAAATTCACCACGCGCACTCTTATTTAGAACGGTTTTAGGAAAATGTAGGAGATATTAGCGAAGAGCAGGGCGAGAGTATTCACTAAGGATTTTGAAGGAGCGATATCAAGGAAGATGGGACATGCACATGATGGCTGAGAATTGTTGGAGCTTATGACGAAATCAGTTAGGCCTTGTCCATGCTCGAAAATCATATAAAAAATTTGTTGAAGACTTAAAATGAAATATGTTG